TGATATAACAGATTTACATATTGTATCCATATAGTTGTAGGTGGAAAACTTTAAAATAATCTAATTCTTACTGATTGTCCTTTTGGTTAAACTCTTCTTGGCCTCCAAGGGGATTTAAGATACATATATTTTATGTTTGCATTTTCTCACCATATTTTCTGGAAAAATATTCTTTTAAAAGTATTTTATATATTTTTATATTATGGGCACATTTGTCTGTGGCGTTTGATTCCCTGGAACTGAAGTTAAAACAGTTGTGAGATAACATATGGGTACTGGGAATTGAGCCTGGGTCCTCTGGAAGAGTAGCCAGTGCTCTTACTGCCAAGCTATCGCTCCAGTCTGCCCAGAAAAATAATCGAAAAATACTTTATTGATTTCTGTTTTTCCTTTAAATGTATCCCAATCCTGTTTAAGTTATTTTTAAATTTTTCGTTATGTTGTGCAAACATATAAATTTAAAAATGAAGTTTTAGCAATAAAGACAATAGAAAATTTCTCTATATTACTAATGTTGCTAGTGTGTGATTGGATAGATGCATAACTTGACCAGGCAATTGTTTTTATGCCTGATTTTAAACTTTTTTTGTTCTTAATTACTTGTTTTAGGCTTAACCTTCAGAACACATTTAGAAGAGCAAAGCTTGTTTTTTAAATTAATCATATTTGTACTTAGTATGACTACAACAACTTAGTTTTGAGTGTATTAAAGAATTTGATAATTTATAGGGTGGTTGACTATTAATTTGCATGTCTTGAATATCTTTTAGCAGTTTATATCAAGTTAGTAAATTTTAGAAGATTAGCATTTTACAGTTTTAGACAAACATCTTTAAGTCAATTTTTGTTAACCTGAGTATGCCTTCATAACCTTAGGGAGTTATCTTCATACAAAAACCCATTCTAACCCAAAATATCTTGGAGATTTGCTGTTGCCTCTTTCATTTAAAAAGGAGATATAATAATAAGCAGAGGGCTCGTTAGGACTTAGAAGTTCATAGGTGCTGTCCTTTACTGGCTTTCTTCCTAGGCAGGTTTCTTTTTCTTCTTGTGTTTTCTAGAGACAGAGGTGACAGTGGTTCAGCATTACTGACATGTTTTAATAAGATTGGATTTATTTGTTTTTACTGTTTTTGGTTGTGAGCCTAGCCATCTCTCCAGCCCTATTACTATTATCCCTATTATTTTTAGAGCAAGGAACTCCACCTTATGTTTGTCTGTTGATCTCTGCATCTACCTCCATGGGTTGTTGGATAATGTCTGTCTGATGACAGTTGGGCCAGACACCAATCTGGTCACAGGAGATGACCAGTTCAGGCTACTTATCCACTGTTCCAGGAGCCTGCATGAGACTGACCTAGGCACAAGGCATATTATATGTTACAGCTGTGTAGCTTGGTCTTCTTGTGGGACTTCTAACAGCAGGAATTTTACTGGGTCACCTTGCCCAAGCGTACGTAATACATGGGGAGGTGCTTAGTCATACTGCAACTTGATATGCCATGGTTTATTGATAGTCATGGGAGACCTTCCCTTTCCTGGGTGGAGAGGGAAGAGGTGGAGGTTGGGGGGATGTGAGGGGAGGAATGGAGGGAGGGTGCAGCTGGGATGTGAAATAAATAGATGAATAAAAAAGTAGCACCTGAAACAGAGAAGGCTAGTAGCTTTTTGAATAATGTGACTGCTAAGACCTTAGCTCATAAAAATAATCCCTTAATGATAAAAATCCTACAGAAGTTATTTTTCCACTAAATAAAATGCAGATATTTGTTTCACACTGCTAATAATTGACAGGGCATATTAACATGTTACTTGGGATCTATAAAAACAAGATCCTCCTTTTAAGATTTTATAAAAATACTCTAAGGGTATTACCTAAACTTACAACTTAAAACCCTATAGAGATTGCTTTTAATGCTTTTATAGATGGCTCCTGAAAAGGACAAAGCATGTTTACACACAAATTTCACATGCTTCCCCCAAAAAAGTCTAAACTTTTGCTGTAACACATCAGCTTTTATTAAATGTTTTTCTGCTACTGAATATTTTAACATTGGAATTTCGTGGTTGGTAATTCATGGTGGTCTCTGGGAGTTTATGCTAATTAGGTAGTTTAGTTCTAGAGGCTTGTTATACCAGAAGGACCAAACAATAAGAAAAGAGTTGCTTTGAGCCATGTATTAGGCTGGCCTCTGGGAGAAAAAAAAATGCTGGAGGTAGAGTTCAGTCATGTGGATAGTAATTTAATCAGTCTTGACTTTGTAACACAATTCCAGCAAAACCCCCCGGACACCGGGTCGTGGGTGGCATCTTTGTAACAGTGCTCTGTGTGTGTTGTTTTGTGTCAGTGTGCCATAGAGATGACACGCTCTGGCTTTATTAGGAGAGGGCATGGAAGGTTTGAATTCATGACCATTCCAGACCTTGTCTTACGTGGTGGCTCTTTCTTAGTGTATGTGTGTTTGTATTTTTTGACCATAATTCTAAATGTATCACTTTCCTGGGTTCTTTGAGTTCTACCGAATTGTCAAATCCCAGTAAGACCTTTGAGAACCCTTCAACCTGCAGCCAGTATCTCAAGTATGGTTTTTGTGGAAGCCTGTGCCCTGTAACATTTTGCCTAACTATAGATAGTGCCAAAAGTCATTGTAGTTGGTATCAGGAAAAAGTAGAATTTGGTATACCAACCCTGAGTCACCAAAACCCGTGTTTAATGAAGAGAGGCTGAAAGGGTGGTGTATGGGATAGGTTCCTTTAATTCTTGGATGAGTGCCTGTTCACTTGTGCTGTGACATTATAGTGTCACAGTGCCCTATTACTAAAGGTGAAAGGAGTGAGATCTTATTCCTATAGAGAACTCTTTTGAGTAGAACATGAAAGGCAGAATAGAAAGAAATGAAGTATACAGTCCTTGAGGTATTATCATCTGTAATGGAAGCCATATGAAAGTGACTAGTTTAGAAGTTTTGGTTTTGACTGCTTTGTAGTGGGAGAGTTGTTAGGGTTGATATAGGATCCAGATGACAGAGCTTGCTACTGAGCAACCATGGGTGTCTACATAGGATTCAGAAACATAGCTGGTTATTCCTGAGGTAGCACTGGACTGGATAAGGCTGTTACACAGTGGCTGATAGGTTAGCTAAAAGCTATTGGAGAGTTTGTTTACATGAAAGAAAGCTGTCTTTCTCCTTTGAGTGCTAAGTGGAACACCCTGGATAAAGTGGTTGTCTTTCACATGCATGTCATGCTGAACTGGGCCTCTCTCGGTTACTTTCACTAAAAATCTTCCATGTCCAAGAAGGGGAACCAAATAAACAAATAAGGATTTTAAATATGAGTCAGAGAAATAATCATATGAAATCAATTCAAAACACAAGCAAGTGGAGCTGGAGAGATGACTCAGCAGTTTAGAGCCCTTGCTGGTCTTCCAGAGGACCTGCGTTCAATTCCCAGCACCTACATAGTGGCTCACAACCATCGCTAACTCTAGTTGCAACGTCTTCTTCTGCCCTCCAAGGGTACCAGACACACAAACTGTATATAGACACACATGTAGGAAAATATATACATAAAATAAAATCATATCCAAGTTATCAAAGTAGACAAAAGAATCAATGTCTTCAAGGCTTCACACTGTTCCAAGCACGGAAACGCAGAAGGAACTGGTTTAGGCCCTTTAATGCTTTAGAACCATCATGGAATGTTGGCTGTACACCCACTGATGTACTCAACAGAGCAGCATAAAGACCTTTGTTTTGGAGACTGAAGAAACAGCTCATTCAGTAAAATGCTTGTAAGCTGGGTTTCATAGGTGTAGCTTTGCTGTCATAAGCAGAAAGCACAGTCTCACAGCAGACTTGCTGGTCCTTTGGCTCTTAGAATCTTTCTGCTCTCTCTTCTTTGATGTCTCCTAGGCCTTAGTTGTAAAAATTGTGTTGTAGTGTATCATTTCGGTGCCCACAGTCAGTTCTTTTCTGCATTTTTGACTAATCGTGGTTTTTCTGTAATGGTATCCTGCTGCAAAAAGAAGCTTCTCTGATGAGAGGTGAACTGTACTTGTGGTTAGTTAGGAAAGTGGCAGGAGTAGTTTTGCTGTATCTATAATTGCAGTAGGTATGGTCACAATACCAGGCCTGATTCCCTCCTGTTAAGTGAGTCTTCAATTAGATGACTTTTGGTTACCACCAAAATACCCAAAATACGAGTGCCACAACTGTGCCTTAGCTTGCCATGCTGGGCATCACAAGTGGTTCATAAGCTTCACAGCTGGGTAGGACCACTGCCTGTTTCCCATCTTTAGCAGATCACGTATCACCTTGTACTGTAATACCTAGTCCTCAGGAAAGAGGTTTTTGGGTGAGTTCCAACTCAAATCCTTTGAGTTCTGTGTCCACAATACATGGTGTCTTCAGCAGTAGGGATTTACTTCCAGCTTCGGAGGTAACCAAGGGCAACAACAGTAGCCTGTGTTGCTTTGGGAGTCTCTTGGACTCTTGACCAACAACTCAGGTTTCTCATGCCTGCACTGGGGTTTTTGTTAGCTATGGTTCTCGTGGGGAGTGTTAATCACTGCAAGTGGTGCAACTTCATTTAAAATACATAATGTATAGATAGATATATACTTTTATGTATTTTATAATTTTAGATAAATGTAAAGTAATTGCCTGTCTTTTCTCAAGCATGCTAGTGTTATTTTCCCCTCCTCCTCCTTGCTGCTTCTGTATTAAGCCTCCCTTTCTTCTCCTGAGTGAAAGATGCTTATTTTTCTCATTTTCTTGTATCTTACCCGCATCCTGCTATTCCCCCTTTTAGAGCTGGGGATCCAAAATTCAAAGTATAGGTACAGATGAATTTTTAAAAATAATTTAAAAAATCAGAACTGTTTTATTCTTACAGATGTTAAATAAATCCAAGTTGCTATGTGATGAATACTTTCAAAATGAATGGCTGTGTGTGTCCCTTGGATGAGGTCACAGTGATTTTCCTGCTTTTATTCATAGGATATTCTGAATAATCTTGAGTCGTGTGATCTTGAGGATGATGACCTTATGCTGGATGTGGATTTGCCGGAGGATGCACCTCTTGAAAATGGTAAGTTAAGATTGCTAAGTCTGCAGGTGTGTGTGTGTGTGTGTGTGTGTGTGTGTGTGTGTGTGTGTGTGTGTGTTGTGTGAGTGGCTGGGTTGTAACCAGTTTGATAACTTTTAGGTCAAGATTGGGAATCAGTCGCTGTTGGTGTAAGACAGGTTTACATTTATTTACATGTTTAAAACCTGATTGTGTTGTATGATTCAGCAACGTTGTATACCTTAATCTAAACATGGTGTGTGAGTGTATTTGAATACCTAGTTTTTCCTCACTTTGCTTCATTTTGAATTCCAAAGGAAATCTATTTATAGAAGCGTTTACTTTGTAAAGCATTATAATGTATTAATTTGATATCTATTTTAAGGTCAGTTTTGGGAAAGTAATCACCTTCTGAATGAAGGTGACTCCTAATTTTAGTTTATCTTTCCTCTTTTACTCGTAATTTTAGTCTCTTTCTCTCTGTGTCCCAGTAACCAGCAAGGTAAGGTTTTAGACAATCTATATACAAAAGGACTCTTGACCCCAGTGGTATAGCATATACAGGGTTTCTATATTAGGACCTAGTAAGAGAGCCAGAGACACCCTTGGGAATCCTGCAGTTCTGGAAACAATGGCTCCAGAGATCTGAGGATTCCCTTTCAGTACACATTTGTGTGGTGTCCCAGACTTCCTCAGAGCCAGGGAGAAAGTATGAAGAGAGGGTGATTTTCTTTTTATCCCTGGTGCTAGAAGTGTTGGAGGTTTTCAGAAACTGAGTATGTTTGTTCCAAGTGTGCTTTCTTCTTACCACCACGTCAGTCAGATTGCCTTTGGTTGAACTTTTTTTGTGTGTTAATCCCACAAAAAAACGTGCTCTGTTACAGTCTGCAGAATGAACATGTATATATTTCCCTGATTCATGAATCCTGAATTACCTGGCATGGCATATTGTATGAGACTGTGTAGATTCCTGAGGAATTTTAGGCTCTACACTACTTTGGGGTGGTTATTCTTATGAAAATCTTAGAAGTATAACAGGGAGAGCAGAAATTCACATTTTAGGCTTAGAATCACCACCCTCATTTTAACCACGTTCTGCTGAGCAAGTCTTTTGACCTAGCCTACCCGACTGAAACCACTCACAACAGGCAGTCTGTGGCCATGATTAAGCTTGGATTCATAAATCTGTTAAGTGAAGCACAAAGGGTATTGTTTATTGTTACTGTAGGAGTAGAGACTGTTAGACTTTCCTGTGGTGCTTCTGGCACTTGGGATACTTCTGCAACCAGAATGGAATTCCAGTCCTGAGAAAGAAAAATTATAGCCAGCACCAGGAGGAACAGAGAGCTGAACTGCCAGCCTTAGGATAGTGCAGGGAGATTTTAAGGAGGGTACTTAGGGAACCACTACTTTCTAGAGCTATAACAGTATAGCACCTCAATGGGTAGTAGAAGTCATAGTTGCTGTTGAGAAGTCTTAGTGACCTGGGGGACCAAGTTCAACACTCTGCTGGCACACAAAGAAAAAATAAAATGTAAACCACTGAAGAACGACTGAGTAGTAATAGCAAGACCTAATGGTACAGGAGATGTGACATGCTCGATTGCTTTTTTATTCTTTTTTCAAGACTGGTAGGGAAGGGTGAGGGATTTCCATCCTTGGAATAAGTCATAGCATAAGTAGTGCAACTACAGTTTCTCTTTGGAAATGTTATTCCCTTTTTGAGCTGGTAGAGGAAACATAGGTCAAACCAGTCTTAGATCTCACCTCATTTCTGGAGCTCAGCCTAGCCACTCTCATGTTAGACAGATGTGGAATCGCAGAGAAGCTGCAGGTCTTTGAGGTCTTTGTTGCATTCTCAGGAGAAATAGTCATGAACTCCACTGACATTGCACATATGTCATAGATGTTTTCCTAGGAGAAAACAAACAAATATTGACTATTTTGAACTAAAATAACACTAAAGAAAGCAGAGCGTGGGCCTAAAATTAGTTCTCTATGTAGATACCCAAATAAAATAGTACTTGTTACTACTATGGCTGGGGGATAAGAAAGTGGAAGTGCTGGTAAGTTAGGGATCGTTTCACATGCTGGTGACTGTTGGCTTTAGTGCTTATTCGCTGTTTTCCATTTGAAGTAGTTGTACAAGTTTAAGAAGAGGTATTGGTTTGCTGAGCCAGCGGGTGTTTCAGCTTCCCTAATTCTGCCAGTATCATTGGTGTTTGTGCCCAAGAAGATGGCCAAATCAGTGAGACCTTCCATTTGGATTTGATCTGGGTACAGCTTACTATGACCTCATTAAGAATAGGTGGCCCTTTGTTTTACAAAACGTTTATTGGGTAGCATGTGTGCATGTATGTGGGGGGGTGTACTTTCTTTTCCATGTGTATCAATGCGGAGGCTAGAGGTTGATAATGGGTGTGTTCCTCTATTGTTCACCTCCTAATTGTTTGAGACAGAGTTTCTTCTGTGAATCTGATGTTCCCCATTTTGCTCAGACTGACTGGCTGGTCACTGAACACCAGGATTTTCTAGTGTCCACCCACCTTGTGCTGGGGGTTATAGGCACCCATTGCCAAGCCCTTTGTTTTTGTATGAGTATGTGAGGGCTCTGAACTCTGTGCTTCTTGCTTACAGAGTAATAATTTTTCCCACTGAGTCATCTCTCTAGTCCCTTTCTTGATGCTTTTAAAGAAGTCCTAAGGAAAGTGCTTATCTGATAATTGCATTTATGTGTTGGTCTTTTTGTCTGTGCCAGGGGAGGAAAGAATGTGTGTTAGTCTAATGCTTGCTGAACAGTTACAGTCTAGGATTTGGAGATGTTCACTTCTGAGTGTTTTGGTGACCCTTGGATGGGTATATAACAGTAATGACGTTCAGGTTATTGTTATAGTTTATGTATATTAGTAGAACAATTGATCACTTACTGGTCAGTAAGTAAAACATTTGCATGCTTATAGCTGCAAGTGCTATAATATTTGTAAGGAGACTGAGAAGAGCAGGACAGAGGCAGGTGATGCAGGACAGAATGCAGGTCAAAGGCCACATGAGCAATTAAAGAGGATATAAAGCCAAGTGTTTTTCTGATTTTAACTCTGTCATAGTCTTTTCTTACTTTCTGTTGGATAAGTACATTAAAATATAATTGATAGTGAGAGTGAAAAAAACCCTGTGAATCCCATGGCTGAGTGGCTACCTTAATCTAGTTGTGCCATGTTTTTATTTGGAAGTTTATTATAATAAGATGGTTTTAGATAAAAATAAAACATTTGCAAGGCTCCTTTAAGTTTTTTGAGAAGCTTGTGTGGAGCCCAAATGCCGGCAGTCAAGTGTTCTACTTCCTCTAAGGACACTTCATTAATTGCCAAGTTTTCCTTTTCTCTCCCTAATGTCTGTGGAAAGGAAAGGGTGTTCAGAGACCCGTTGTCCCCCCTCTGAGTGACAGACAGAGCGTCTGTCTGCTGTGTAGGATATTATTTTATTCGTGCTCCATTCTGCTTTTTTCTTTGGCTCATCCAAGATCTTCAAGCTTTGGGACTCTGGTGGTTTTCTCTAATGTTTTTTATTGAAGGTTTTCATAGAAGGTGAGGAAGATGGGGTAACATTTGTTTTGGAGTCTTGTGAATGCTTTCTGATGGTGTTCACTGACCCTGGTGTCTGCAGTGAATGTAACTGTCACCTCTCCCCCTCTTCCTTGCAGGTTCAAATCAGAGCTCAATATGTGTTCACAGAAAAGATTTAGAAAATCCTTTTCTATACTGTCTTTTGAACTCCATTGTAGGATTTTATTTGTTTGATTTTTTTTTTGAGATAGGGACTAATTGTGTAGCCTTGACTGACCTATAATGTGTTATGTAGACTAGGATGCCCATCAACTCACTGAGGTTTGCCTGTCTCTGCTTCCGAACACCCCCCATGCCTTTCTGCCATCACAGGCTCATAAACTACTGTCACATTCTTAATGTGTTTTGTATCTTTATGTTTTTTCTTAGAGAATCTTTTAATTATGAGCAAGTTGATCTTCCAGCACTAGATTATGATTCCTAAGTCTAGATTTCTCTGGGGATTTTTTCCAATGCCATTTAGACCTTTTAAATTATTTAGCCATGCCCTCTGAGCTGAGAACAGACTGTATACAGTTTTCCCTGCTCTGAAAATCTTTAGCTTTACTAGATATCGCATTTAGGCTTTTGTCTCATTTAAAAGGAGTGGCAACAGGTCAGAGGGAGAGGTCATTCAGAAGGAAATCAAAGGGATGTGGAATTGTGGGTGAGGAATCATGAACCGTTTAGGCTTGAGTTGTGAGTTAGAAGGCTTGCACTTAGTGACAGAATTTTTTTAATTTTGCAAGCTCTTCTTTTTTCTTTTTAAACCTTGACCTGAATTAGTAGACCAAGGAATTTCATAAGGAAACAGTTTTGCAATCTGAATTTCTTTTGGAAGGCTATTGGATGTTTGCAATTGGTTCTTCTGTTGTAGGCCTCTTTGTGTTGTAGAGTGTTTCTCAGTAGTTCTGGTATGCCAGAAACGCAGCTGTGTTGCCTTTTCCCCTTGTCTAGGAAATTCTGATGGCCAGCCATCGCCCACAAATACACACCTGGCATTTGGCACATTAGAGTGTAATCCTCAGGTTAGTGGATTGCCCTAGTGAATACTTTCTCTGTATACTGTTAATCATTTTAGTCATTCTGTTTAGACTTTAGACTTTGAAAGATGTTTTTCTAATTATTTACTGAATGCCACACAAAGTTCAATTACTGACTAAATTATATTTAGCTCATGTTTAAATCCATACGGCCACATTTTTGCTACAGTTTGTATTAAGATACATGAGGCTCATCTTACTCTTGTTTGCTTCCAGTTACTTGTGTTTTTCCTAGAAATTTATCTTTCTGTACCAGTATCATGTTAAGTAATTCAGTTTATGATTTTTTTCATTTAAATGATTTTTTCTTTTTGAACATTTAATTACAGTTGAAAACTTTCTTGATAATGTAAAGCCTCCTTGGGTTTTGTCAGTTATAATGTCATCCTATTTCTCATCCAATTACTTATATAAAAATTACTACCTGTGTCATCATTATCTCTCTTAGGACTTGAAAGCTCTAATGTAAGAGAAAAAAATCTAGGATAAATTGGGTATCATGTTTTATTCCTTCATCAAACAATGAAAAATGACACCCAGCATGACAGGATCCATATATCATATACCTCTATTAGCTAATTAGATTCTTCCCATCTTCAGTGGGTTAGAACACCAATGCTGTCTGTCTTTTACAGTCCTAGAACTAACAAATGCTACTTTTTGCCATTGGAACTAGTGACCTTCAGCAGGAAGAAGACTACTCTCCAGACATAGCTTCAGGTCATAGTTCGGGTCTGGTCTGGTCTGACCGAAAGGTGCTTTTGGGTCAGCATCTTGGCTTTCGTAGTTTGCAGCTGAGATAGCTTTAGGATTGCCCTTAGTCTTTGTCAGTGATGTAGTACAGGTACCATCAGCCTTGCAGCATTACACATTCAGGGGAACTTATTTTCCCTGTTAAAATGTATGTGCTGCTCTTGTTAGACCCAAGAACCAGATTTTTATCAATCTCCCTCTTGTGATTTTGTTGTTCCCATTTTTTTTCTATTTTATATATTTTATTCTGTCAAGGAATACCTTAATCTTGCCTAGGTAACCACCACTAATATTTTAATGTTACCATCTTAGCTAGGTTCCAAGTTTGTAAGCGTGTGCTTGATGGACAGAAGTCTGAGGAAGGTGCATAGGACAGCACTCTCGGGAGAGTCAGGATCCTCTGTAGAAATTAGATCTAGATGTGAACTTTAATCTTTTGCTGTAGTGGTGGATGTTTGTCTTTCCTGCTAACCCAACGTTAGGAATGAATTCCAAGGTAAGTAAGGAGCCCTGATTTGGAGTCTGTTCACCAAAGCCACACGGTAGCTTGTGCTCTGGAATTGCTCTAATAATTGGCTTGCTTCCTTCTTGCTAGTCTTTGCTCTGTGCTGATTTTCATTCTGAGAATATGCAGGTCATTCTAACAACAACATTGATTCCTTTGGTACTGGAAATTTCTCTTCCTAAATTAAGGAAAAATATTTAAAAGTAGATGTGTATTAGCTTAATTGCTAGGTGGATACTCTGGGGGCCTCAGTGAATGTATCTATGAGTGTAATGCAGCTGTGAGTTTGATGGTGTTACCAAAGAAACTAAACTGAAATTAGCTTGAAACCTTAAAGTTTACTTAAAAATTTTCCTTTGCCACCTCATTTCTACTGATATTTTTCAACATAGTGGTCATCATACCATTTATTATCCATAACTGCAAATTCAACTTGATTTTAACAATAAATTAACAAGTTACTGGGAGTAATTTCATATGTTAGACTTCTTTTAAAAGCTATCTCTACAAACTATGCTAGTGTTCACTGATTCCTCATTAATGCAAACAAAACTTCCATGTCCTTACAAAAGTATGCTTAAGTTGCTTGCTTTTGTTTTTTCTGCATCATCCTTTTATAGATGGGAAGCCTTTTCATTTTCTCTGTAGTAAAACAATTAGCAAATTTCAAATCCAAGTTTTTGACTGATGATAACAGCCACTTAAAATAAGTTAATTTAAAAAACACTATTATATTGATATGTAAGGTTCTTTATCATAAGAAATTCTGAACTTCTTCATGTAGTTTTTGGACTGGAGAAGCCCTTCCTGTTCCGTGGCTTGGGATAGTGTTTAGGAGTATTTTTAGTAACAGTCCTAACTCAGTAGCTATGTAAGCATTGAGAGAAGATGGAGTCACAGGGCAGGCTGGGCTTGCTTCCCACAGGGAGGGCTGGGAGTGGAGCAGGAAGGAAGGCCTGTTTGAGCAGCGCCTGTGTGCAACTATGTCTGAGTAGGCAGCCGGCAGCACAATGTCTCCCTTGTACCAAGTAGCTTTCTCAGAGAGTTCTCAGAGATGTGAGAGCCGCGCATTTGGGTGAGTGAAGAAGCTTGGGTGCTTCAGGGATTCTTGGAGTTTTTGTGGTATCTGGATTTTAGGAGTGGACTATTTGTTGTTACAAAGTACCGGCTTTGTTTTCAGTAGCATTTCTGTCTTTCTGAGCCAGCTCTGTTGTGTTGTGGGCAGATCGGAGCAGCTTACTGTTTAAAAGTGTGAGTTTTATTTGAAAACACGATCGTCCAGGATGAAGGGTTAATTTGTGCTTCTTGAGGCTGAGCAGCTTAATTGCGGCACTCATTTCTAAGAATGGACCCTTTGCTTTTCTTAAGATGTCCACTTTCCTGTCCTGATTGCTTGTATTTGGAACACGCAGTGTTGATCTCAGGAAAGTGCTCCTTGTTTTAAAACAGCCCAACAGTTAGTTATTAACTTAAGTGTTGCATACAGAAGTATTATAATTTACTTATGTGTGAAGGTATAAAGTTCAGTTTCCACTGTAAGAATTGATTTCCTTTGGAAAACTTTACTTTGTGATTATTTAGCATACATGACTGGTGTATTAAAAATATTTTCAGCAGCATTTAATTATCAGGGCATAGTTAAGTTTTTATAGAGTGTGCACATATTTACAGTCTGTTACTTTTTAACCTGCCTAGTGGAGTGTGACAATATGAACCGCTTTGACCGAGCAGACAGAAATGTACGACAGTCACAGGACGGATTTTGGAAAAGAGCACCCCAGCGGTGGAGTGGACAGGAGCATTACCACCTTAGCCACCCTGATCACTATCATCACCATGGGAAAAGTGACTTGAGCAGGTGAGTGCTGTTCTCGCTGCAGCTTTACCTCTGTCCTCTGCTTGGCTTGACTCAGTTCTTTCTCCAAGCTGATTTTGCCTGGTTTTCAAGGCACCTGAGTCAGTTCAGGTTATGTATGATATGTAATTGTTATAACAATTAAACTTTTCTTAGTTGGACTCATTTTTTTTTCAGTAGCTTTATTGTAGATTTACAAATTGCATTCACATCTACTATAAAGACTTTTTAAGTTGTGATATAACTGTGTGGGAGAGAATTCACATTTGGGAATTGATGAATATTGACTTTGTTTAAAATTTAAAAAAAATATATTGTACAAAGTAACTACTAAGCTATTGGCCTTATTTTGCTTATAAGGTAAACATGTAAAATTTCACAAATACTGCTAAGGGATGCAACATGACACCAGAAGTACTTCCATTTTAAAGGATAAAGTATGAAATTGGATCAGACCATGTAGTATAAAGGGCTCACAGCCATTCACACCTCGGGTCAGAGCTTCACCTGTTATAGATTAGCTTTGCAAGCTTGGTTTAGTTAACCCTCTGCACAATTCGGTCTTCAATCTACCATTCGTGAGCAGGCTTAAAAATACTTTTCTGTGAGTATTCATGGATCAGGATAAAGGTGCTTACTCTACCTGGTTTGTGGTTTGCAATGACATTTTTTTAACTTAAATATTTTGACTGTCTCATTCCACAAGTGGTTTATGGTTTATCCTGGAACATATTATAGTGCAAATAATTAAACTGAGGTGAAGAAATGATGCAAGGGAATCATATGGCCCTCTGTACCCCCTAAAATAAGAAACAAAGTTGTTGCTAAGGGTTCTTGTAGCAAAAGTAAAGATCAAAGTGTGCTTAAGATGGAGATTTGTTTCTCTGGATTTATTCACCTTATACTACAAATACAGAGGGAGTTGTCATGTATGAGGTCTAAGAAGAGTACTTTGGACATACACTGGACAAGTCCTGAGTGGCACAGTAACTATCTTAATTCTTCTTCATTATGTTTTTCTGTCTAAGATGAACTAATTCTAGTCTAATAAAATATTTTTAGTGGATTAAGAAAAACAGGGTCAATGAAAACCTTCTATTGGAGTAAGTAAATAGAAGCATATAATTGTGCAGTGTGGAAGAATCCATGCAGTACTTCCTCTAGGTATCTGAGAGTTGATCCTGTCAGGCAAAAGCCTTATGTAGAGCTCAACTTCATTATTCTAATGGTGATCTTGCTTCTGTAATCTTGGTATGTCTTTACAATAAGTTAAATGAAGGCAGGTACATGATGCCTAAGTAAGTAGTAAGCGTGTCAGTATAAGTTACTTTTGCTTCACTGTCACTACAATACCTGACAGAAATAGCTAATAGAGGGGATATGTTTGTTTTGACGCAGTTTCAGAGACTTTGAGTCCATCATTGCAGGGGAGGTGCGGTGAGGCAGCTCCTGGTGTTAGGAGCATGTGATGGAGGTCCCTCCTCTCACTGCGAACTAGGAATCAGAGAATGAGGCTGGAGCTACCAGGTACAGCCTTTAAAAGCTTAACCTTAATAGTTTATTTCTACCAGGTCCCCTCCTCCTGTGTATTGTCCAGCCTGACTATCATTATCATCTGGGAACAAACACAACATGAGCCTGTGAGAGACATGTCATAGGCAAACCATAAAAATGCTTAGTTTTAAAATTTGTTCATTCACTTAATAAACACTCATTGGTAGCCATGTTTTAAACAGTCCTCTAAAGTCTTAAACTGGTATGAATTTGGAGATAGTGTGAGAGGTGGAACTTGTGAATTTTTAGTGACTTCTTGGACTGTTATATTAAAGATGATAAGAAGAATTCTGCATTGATACAGCTTCATAGTAGACAGCTTTACACTGAAGGTAGGAAAGACTCTTGTGCATGTGCTGTTTCATGCACCGATGGATAGTATACATGTCTGTGGAGACAAGCGTGTGGGCACTCAGAGTGCAGTGCTACCTCTGTCACAGTGTGTGCCTAATGAAGGAGTGAGCATGCAGCAGCTCTCTCTCTCTCTCTCTCTCTCTCTCTCTCTCTCTCTCTCTCTCTCTCTCTCTCTCTCTCTCTCTGTATGTTTTATCTAGGAGAGCACGGAGTAAGTGGTTACTTTTGAGTGGGTCTGCAGGTCTGACTGGAGACTGCTGAGGGATAATGTAGTGTCTGAAGGAGAGTGAGCCTCAGCCTGGCACAAGGGCAGTTGCAGAGTTTTTGTGATAGAGCCCGGCATTTTCAGACTCCCACTCTTCAAGTTTACCATAGCTGGATTTCTTGTTGATTTGGAAGAATGAGTGACATGTTCTGTGACAGACAACAGAACTGTCATATCTGTAGTTTAAGATAAAGGGAGACAAATTGCAGAATGAAGGAGACATGACTCAGACTATCAGAAATAGAGTGGGTAAAATGGAGGTAATTGTCTCTGTCCTTAGAAATGGTCCAACCAAGACTTGAGTGTAATCATCTACCAGAAAAGTTAGAAAATAACCCCCCTCTCCCTCTCCAAAGTCCAGAACCCTAAACTCTAATTCCCTACATATTAACAGGTCAGATAAATATAGGAATGAACAAATTAAATTGTTTAAATGGTGGCTGCATTATGCCTGTTTCTATAAATTGTGATGTTGCAGAAGTCAGTGAAAGATAATATGTAACATTCCCCAAAGCATTACCACAAATCCCCCTCAGAGTGTGTACGCTTTAAGGCACTTGTGATTGTGAATTGTCACTTCCTAGTGGTTGGTAGTGAGGAGAGAGAGATGCACAGAATGTTTTTACAGATTGCTAATCTGATTTATTCAGCATAGAGTTTTCTAAGGAGTATGCTGATAATGCTGAGGCTCATAGGTTGACTGGTTCACTATACCTTCCAGCTTCGGTGTTTGTCCCGGGGTTTCCAGCTATGCCGGAGGCAATTACAATGATGCATGTCACAAAAAAAAACCTTCCACAGCAAGCCTTGGAACTGTGTCTTCACGTTAGTGTTAAAGAGTTTGAGAGTACAAACCTCTAGTTCTTTTAATATCGTGTACAAGTCCCTCTTCCTAGTTAACATGAGTACTGGTTCCCTGTCTTTTGGTGCTTAGCCACTATTGTTATCATAGTTCATCACAGATTGTGTCTTAGCCATAACTTAGGTTTGTTGGGGCATTAGTGGTTCAGAATGACGGATCTGACTGTTCCGTGGTTTTCTCCCAAGAGCTCCCTTTTCCTAAAACTTTATGCTATCTAGACTTCTCTCTACCCTAATAAACTTACAGCCTTGCCCTCCTTGTGGTTATGCTAATTATAACAAATCTAGCACTTAACTAAATGTATTTCTTTCACACTTTCACCGTAGCATTTTTGCAGGCAAGATTCTTATTTTCTAGGAGTCCTAATATTTTACTGTTTGGATATGGGGGTGTGTCTTTGTCCTCACTCTTCATTGTCACTTCCCGAATGAAGTATTTTTAAGTTGCTGTTTTGAGACTTGGGCTGTTTAGCTGAATCAGCTCCTTTTCATGGATCCCTTCATGTATATTTCATAAAAATCGTGGCTTACTGTCCTCCATTATTGTTAGCTTTCACACACCATGAATAACTCCATTGTTATGCAAATGACTCGTAGCTTTTCATGAGCTCTTAAGATTTTCTATTTATACTTTGTCATCCGAGAACAGATAGTTTTACTTTTTCCTTTTCAATCTGTGTAGTTTTCTTTCTTGCACAATTGATATGGCTACATCTTTTGGCATGGTATTGAATAGAAGTAGTAAGAGCCAATAACTATGGTTTTTTTTTTTTTTTTCGACATCAGGGGGAAAACATCTTTTAAGGTCAAGAATGGGATTGTTTTGTTTCTTTGTTTTTTTCTCCAACCATATTTCCTTTATCAATCTGAAGATATTCCCTTCCATTGATCCTTTGTTGAACATTTTTATCTTGTTGGCATGCTGGATTTTATCTAATGCTTTTCCAGTGTCCATTGAGATGTCTTTCCCTTCCTTTCATCCTTTTAATACAGTATATCACATGACTTCTAGATGCTGAGCCAGCCATTTATTTCTCAGTCAACCATTTGCTTATGGTATGTAATTTTTACATTGCTGTGTGCTGTGAATTTTTAACTACTCGTAAATACTAGTTTAGTTCTTTTGAGATGGGTTTGGATTTGTTTTTGGTTCTGGGCCATTTAGAATGAATTGGGAAGTGTTCCACCAGTATTTTGTGGAAGAGTTCTGATCTGAGCTTTACTTTGTGGCAATATTTTTGTTACTAATTTAATATCTGTAGGCATTCTATAGATGCATGTTAGGTCTTAGTGTAAATTGTTGCCCAAGGCATTTGACTCCTTGTTGATCTGCTGGTCTGACATGTTTGTTCCTGAAGCCAAACTTAAAGAAGTACTGAATTCTCTTTCCTCACTGTATCTTGTAAGGAAGGAAGGTTGGGTAGCAACAAATTCTCATAGTTTTTATTTATTTAGAGTGACTTCTTTAAATTTTCCTTTATTTTAAAGGATTACTTTGCTAAATATAGAATGCTTTGTTGATAGTCTTTCTTGTAAGTTTTTGACCCTAGCAAAATTTTGCCCTGTTATTTCCAGATGCAAAATCAACTCTTATTAACACTTCTTTCATATCATGAGTCACCTTACTTACCGTTTAAAGGACACTCACATTGACTTTGGCTTCTCACAGATAGATTTTGTCTTTAACTTATCATCCCCTTGAGCTTCTTGGATATGCAGATTAATATTTCATTAACTTTGGAAATTTCAGATCCTCACTCCAGTTTATTTCCACTACTCATTTTCTCCTTCCTCCCATTTTCTGTCACATTAAGAATTAAGTGAATATCATTCTTTACTTTACATAAAGTAGGCAAGATACTCAAATCAGATCTCCCCTCTCCAGGATTTGTTTGTGCTGTGGCTTGTTGCCACTTTGCATTCCTGCCTGCAGTGAATGGGAGCTCCTGGTGGCCCACACCCTCACTGG